TAATCTTTATTCCTGTCAACTCATCCTTCCTTCTCTATTCAAAGAAATCACACTTAGCTGTAGTTGACTTTTTTCAACGAATTTTCAATTATTATCACACGTACACTGTGCTACCACTAATACTATACAATACAGGATGTTCCAAATTCGGCCTTCACCACTGGGATCTCGGAAACAGTAAGGATAAGAATTTGCTTAAATGGGGGCAAAGATGCGCATTTAGTTTGATAACAAAAGGCCGCTCAGAAAGTGTCGAAATTTAAAGTACTTCCGGAGAGAGACGGAAAAAGCCGAATTTTCCCGAAGTCGTTTTAATTTTCTGCTGACTCTATTTGTAGCGGGATCTCATAATAAATTGCAACTTCGCCACTTTTCTCCTGTAAAAGATGGCATAATAAGAATTTCAATATGACAATATGACGTTTTGTCTCTAGTTCTCCAGCATTAACTTTATTTTTACTTATGGACGCCATATTGGACTTTTGCACAGGTGAATAGAGCTTGTAAAAAAATTTCTAGGTGGCATTTTTCAAAACAAATTGAATTTTTTTATGACAAATCCATGTTAACGATTTTAAATAATATTCGATTAAAGAACTGTGAAGTCACTTGACTGTCGGTTTGAATCTGCTCATGTCTTTTTAGCAACAATAGTGTATATTTTGTGGCATATAATTGCTTATGCAAATCTGCGCCAAACGTAAAGCAAAAGTGGGGCAATCGTTTCATATGAATGTTTAGGAGAATACTGTTAGATTTTTTATTACTGAAGTAAGACACCTGTTGGATTATTTATTACTGAATATCGCATAACGGTAAACTTGCCAAAATTCTTTTCCATTTTTATTGTTTTGGAAAGCACCTCATGATATCCGGGAATTCTGAACTTGCTGTTAGTATGATAAAAAGACAAGTTTCTATATATACCAAGTGACATATAAATCCGAACACCCAGTTTAAATGGTTTTATTTTAATGAAAGTTGGTGAATGTATTTATCTTACTGTAAATAACAAGTGAAAAAATTTTCAGCCTTATCAGTTGGACATTCCGGTTTTTATACTGCTTTTTTTTAATTCACTAACGCTCTATAAATGAATATTTCAGCCACAGTAAAGAATCAACGTTGGCGGATTTTGGTTCTTGACTTCCTTTACGATCGGTTACGATGCCTAGAGTACGGAGACCTGTACGATTTCGTCAACTTAGTGAGTTTGATAGGGGCCGTACAGTGGGACTTCGGGCAGCTGGACTTTCTTTTCGGGGAATTGCAGTTAGAGTGCAAAGAAGTGTAGATACTGTGGTTAGGTGTTGTCAGGCATGGATTCGAGAAGGCCGTACGCAAAGAGCAAGGGGCACTGGACGCCGCCGTAGAACAACAGACCGTGAAGATCGCCGCCTAAGATTATTGGCCTTAAGGGACCGTTTCTCCACTACCAGGTCCATTGCAAATGAATGGTTTGCAGAACACGGAAGACCTATTGGCATGCGATGTGTTTACCGACGAGTGAGAAGTTTTGGCTTGTTTTCATACCGGCCACACTGGGTCCTCCCTTTAGCTCGAGAACACCGACGTAATCGCCTTAAGTGGCGCAGACAACGGTCACTCTGGGATCAGGAATGGAACAGTATTGTCTTTAGTGACGAGTCTCGATTTTGTTTAGGCATGCACGATGGTCGTGCCAGGGTTAGAAGGCGACGTGGTGAAAGGAGGAATCCACAGTTTTTTGTTGAAAGACATGTTCATCACACTGTTGGAGTTATGGTTTGGGGTGCTATAGCTTATGGTTCCAGGTCACCTTTAATCTTCATCAGAGGTAACATGAACGCGCAAGAAGTTCTAGAACCCCATCTTTTACCCTATCTTGACACCCTGGCAGATCCAACTTTCCAACAAGATAATGCCCGAACACATGTTGCAAGAGTCACAATAGACTTCTTTCAACATAATGATGTCACATTGTTACCATGGCCACCAAGATCTCCCGACTTATCCCCAATTGAGCACGTGTGGGATATGATGGGTAGGAGATTGCTCAATTTGCAACGTCCCCCTCAGACTCTAGAAGCACTTCGAGAGGAGTTGGTGGTTGCCTGGAATGAGATACCACAGGAGGACATTGACCACCTGATCAGAAGCATGCCTAGGCGCGTTGGAGAATGCGTAGCACATCAGGGTGCATCCACACATTATTAAAGGTCAAAGAGCTTTAAAGCAGTGCAATCATTTTGAAATTTTTATCATTTACTTATTATGCTTCATTAAGTACTTATACAAAATTTTATTAAAATAAAACCATTTAAACTGGGTGTTCGGATTTATATGTCACTTAGTATATTTAATGTTCTGTAATGTTATCGGTACCCAAGTTCGACTAATTAATCTCAAAACTTCTTTACTTATATATTGAACTTTTACTGGCTAGATGTGTTAATTAGATTTATGAACTGATGACATCGTTGCGCGGTAAGTAACGCCATTTTTTAGCAAACTTGGAATATGATTTTTCTTGATCTTTCGGCCAATGTTTTCTTTACATCGCGTGACATCCGTAAATTACTTTATCTTAAGTTTAATCCGTCTTAAAAATTCTTACATACGTGACATTTGATAACTCAACTCTTGTAAACGCTATTATTACTTTTTCTTTACAATGAATAGGTAAGCCATGCATTACATGGATTATTCTAGTGATTTAAACACGCTAGCTAACATAAATTTTATGAATACAAGCAGTTAAAAAACTTTACACTTGCAATAACAATAATTAATTTACTCGTATTATTCAATAAGCGTACAGAATTGAACACGCGCGTAACAGTTCTTCTTACTTTCCAGCTGAACGAGGAACAGAAAAAAAAGTAAAACTGTAAGTCGGTCAATTTGATTATTACGTGCAGAAAAACGATTCGCATGCTGGAAGTTTACGATTTGTTGCAATTTTGTAAGTGTCTACTGAACACAATATTGGCAAGCTCAGCCTTGACTAATGGTTGGATAAACAGGCTTTGTTAATATGCATTTTATATGCATAGTAGCCTTCCGCTTGTAGGTCTAGCTGGCGAGGAAGTATTTTGATCGCGACAAATTTCGAAATTGAGGTATATTTTTTGGATGTTGTATACACAATAGTCCTGGATCGGCTCTGTATTTTGTCTGGTAAGGTATTTTTGGAAAAGATCAAGGTCACGTCTCCAGTAACTTTCAGCAAGGTGACTTTGAATTTGACCTTGACCTTCACCTTCTAGGTTAATTTACGGTCAACCTTATATCTTCAAACAGAAACCATTTTTTGGATGGCGGCAATCGAAACAACAGAAAAACAATCAAAGTCCAAGGTCGAGATGAATACTAAAGGTCAAGTGAAGATCAAATGTATGCTGCTAGGAAACCTCTATACATCTCACGGGATGAGTGATGAATAACTATCAAGGTCAGGCCTGTAGTTAATTTTGACGAGTGATCTTAGATTTGACATTGAACAAGGTTATTTCAGGGTCAATTTTTATTCAAATAGAAACCCGCAGTAACAGTATCAGCTGAAAATCCTTTTTAAAGAGCACCGTGGCTCCCCAGCTAAAACCTACTAAAAAATCTGGCCTTGGCAGTTATTTTCGTCACTATTCGTGTGAGATTTCTAGCAGCACATATCTGGACATATGACCTCTGGCGGTCACCTTGACCTTAAGTTCTAATACACATTTGAACATATAAATGTCCTGCTTCGGAGAAAGAGTTGATTTTGAAATAACCTTGAAGGTGATGTTCAAGGTCAAATCCAAGAACACCGCTATATTTGTGAGAAATTGATAAAGTCTTGACTTTACCAGTTATTCTCGTCACGATCACTGCGAGATTTCTAGAGGCTTTCCCGGCAGCACGTATTTGACCTTTATTTAACCTATTTGCATCTTGAATTTTAATACATACTCGGATGTAAAATAGGGGTTTCTATTAGAAAACTTTGGAGAGAACTACGGTGCTCGTTACAAATGATTTTTAACCGATACTGTTACTGCGGGTTTCTATTAAAAAAAACACCTTAAAATAAAAGGTCAAATACAAGATTACTTGTCAAAAAGAACTAACCTTGATAGTTATTTTCATCACTAATCCTGCAAGATTCATAGTAGTTTTTCTAGCAGCACACATTTGACCTCCGTTTCACTTTTAGTGGCCGCCATGACAGTGGCCTTCAATCGTATTTGAACGTAAAATTTTCCGCTCTTTCGATTGCTGGCATCAAAAATAAAGAATTCCATTAAAAAAATAGAGTTGACCTTGAAGGTAAAGTAATGAGGATCTTGGCCTTGATCACCGTCAACTCCCTCGTTAAAATTTACCAAAGACCTGACCTTGATAGTTGTTCTCATCACTTATCCTGTGAGATTTATAGAGTTTTTGATAGCAGCACGTTTGATCTTCATTGAAGCTTTAGTCATGCTGACCTTGAACTTTAATTGTGTTTGAACGTAAAATTTTCTGTTCTTCCGATTGCGGGCTTCAAAAATAGGGGTTTCTATTTGAAAAAATAGGGTTGACCACGAAAGTGAAGATCAAGGTCAAATTCAAGGTCACCGTTGAAGTCCTTGCTGAAAGTGACTGAACACCTGACTTATAGCACAATTCTACACAAATAATGAGGGATTGATGGACATAAAGCACCACATCTGTCGAAATAAGACAGCACAAACCAAAATCGATCACTGCGAGAGTGAATAGTTGGAATTGTAAAGATCTCAGTTCGCGTTTGATAGCCCAGTCACCAGTGTGACCACCACGGGCTGACGATTTTGCCATTGAAGAAATAAAGATATGACGCTCTGTGCTGCCTTATTTCGATAGATATACTCCGGATAGAGGGTAGTTTATGAGCTTTCGTTCGTTGTCCACCTCAGACCAAACCTAGACCATGCTGATAAGTTGCTGAAAAGCACGAAACAGCTTACAGGGTGTCTGTGACCGGACGGATGAAAGCATTACGTGTGTCTTTTTTTCAGAAGGTCGCAAGCGTGGCGGTAGCCAAAACGGTGGGAATCAACAGCAAAAAGGCATCATGGAACGAATCCTGCCTATGATGATAATGCCTTTCATGATCTCCACTGGGATGATTCCGATGATGTTGGTGTCCTTGAAGATCATGATGTTGAAGAGCGCTTTGATCGGGAAAATCGCCATCATTCTCATTTTGATCAACATGTTCAGGAACAGATCGAATAGGGGCGGAGTTTTTAACCATAACATTATGGGACTCAACGGAGATGGTAATGTTATTTTATAATTTTTGCAATAATTTCACGCACTTAATCGTAGTTTATTGCATTCCAATGTGCATTTAGCCTTAGGCATTATGTAATATCGTATGTTTTAAACGCTTTGGCACAAAATTCATTGCCTTTAATTTTAACGAATACAAAATAATACTCGTATCGAGTTGTCTTTGGAAACAAAAGTTTGTTTACTTACTTTACTGTCGCTTGTATAAATTAGAAACAAAAAAAGGTATTCCAATTTTTTGCTAAAACAATATTGGGGACCAGCTTTGATGACAAAGGCAGATACAATAAGTTTAAAAAAGGTTATAACATTTTTCCTTCAAATTGCAGTTTCTTACCTATATATTTTTCTAGGAGGTGGTCAAAGTCATGACAAAAATGACTGGATAATGCAAGAGCATTACGGTTATCAAGGTGAAGCAGAATATGGTGCGTATATTAGTAAAAGAAGGCGAAGAAGAAAACGAAATATAACTAATGACTGAAATAATTATAGTCTAAGAGTGAAGTGTGTTGTTTTAGATATAATTATTTCTTTGTCTTGTTGAAAATGGTTAGATCGCTGTTTATTTGCTTCATTGAAAAATACTTGTGTGTTATGAATATAGGGATATTACTTTCATGTAAAATGTTCAACCAAAGAACAGGTACTATTTAAGAAAAGTTGACCTCAGAACGGCAAAGTGTTACATTAATTTTGGTCTGAAATTGTATAAATAACATTTTTGATTTTTCTATTATTGAAAATAGTGTTTGGCAGATTATTCAGTTGGATATAGAATAGGTGGATATATCGAATTGACAAATTCAATGGCGATGTCATCGAGCATAACTTGATGGATACTAAAAAGCTCTACATTCGTCCTAATTCACTAGTCCTATTGTAGTGTAGTCATTATTTATTTTTACTATTCAATAAAGTAATAAACTACTATAAGCAGTTTTAATTTTAGTTATTAATCAGATAAAGAATTCCTTAAAATCCGAGCAGGTGAAATTATTTATGAGGGTGAACTTGCAGAGTTTGAAAACCTTTTGAAAAACTACTCAAATCTTATAGAAAGAATAACAAAAAACATAAATTCAATTCAAACTGGCTATTTTAGTTATGTTGCACTATGCAGTCTCGTGGCTTCTAATATATTAGTTTTAATATCATTATTGTGATGATGGATGTGACAGTGGAGAGACCAGAAACTGAAAGCATAAAAAGTGTGAAAAAGTTTGATCCTTGTGAGTTCCATAGGAGATGATACTATTGTGTCAGAAGTGGGATGAAACTTATTTTCAAGCTAATAAAAACATTTGCTTTTGGTCAGCAGTAGTAGTATACTTTAGCACATATATTACAAGTAAAATACATGATTTCATAAGTAGAATAAATAAGTACATCTATTGGAATATAAAATCCAGTTTTATCACATCTTAAGCACTGCTTTTATTACCAGTTAAAACAGCAATAACTGTGTTTATAAACGTTTCGCTTTATGAGCAGATAAACAATCGATACAGCGTGTTGGATCGAACAACAGCAATCTGTTTATCAAGTCAGATTAAACACAAAAAATAGAACAAAATACTTGATGATATCTTTCTTGTAAAGTATCCGTTGTTTTCAGTCATGAACAGCGTTGTCATGTATAAGGTACCTGTAGCAAATAAGGCCATGCTCCTAATAAGGCCATCCGTCGATTTCCCAGAAACTATCAACATTGAAGATTTCTGCAGTTTTACACATTTATTGAAAGCAGTTAGCAGCCATCAATTCAGCAGCTGTGGAGCGGCGCTAGATGGCGCAGTAGCACAGCGTCGGGATTCAACATGTGCCTTATAAAATATCTGCTTTGAGTTTGTCTCCGATTTTGCATGTTGACGGCTTCCTTTTGCGGAATATCTTGTTAATTCAAACAGGTAAGTCTATAATGCATATGCAGGTAGTTATTTGTTGTTGCCAGGTTTTGGATGTTTTCAATTTGTTATCATTTGTTTGTCTTCAATGCTAAGTCAAAAACAAGTTCATTTTTTTACTTGAAATCTATCTGGATTTAAGAATTATTTATTGTTATTAATTAGAGAAATATATACTAAGTGACATATAAATCCGAACACCCAGTTTAAATGGTTTTATTTTAATAAAATTTTGTATAAGTACTTAATGAAGCATAATAAGTAAATGATAAAAATTTCAAAATGATTGCACTGCTTTAAAGCCCTTTGACCTTTAATAATGTGTGGATGCACCCTGATGTGCTACGCATTCTCCAACGCGCCTTGGCATGCTTCTGATCAGGTGGTCAATGTCCTCCTGTGGTATCTCATTCCAGGCAACCACCAACTCCTCTCGAAGTGCTTCTAGAGTCTGAGGAGGACGTTGCAAATTGAGCAATCTCCTGCCCATCATATCCCACACGTGCTCAATTGGGGATAAGTCGGGAGATCATGGTGGCCATGGTAACAATGTGACATCATTATGTTGAAAGAAGTCTATTGTGACTCTTGCAACATGTGGTCGGGCATTATCTTGTTGGAAAGTTGGATCTGCCAGGGTGTCAAGATAGGGTAAAAGATGGGGTTCTAGAACTTCTTGGATATAACGCTGCGCGTTTATGTTACCTCTGATGAAGATTAGAGGTGACCTGGAACCATAAGCTATAGCACCCCAAACCATAACTCCAACAGTGTGATGAACATGTCTTTCAACAAAAAACTGTGGATTCCTTCTTTCACCACGTCGCCTTCTAACCCTGGCACGACCATCGTGCATGCCTAAACAAAATCGAGACTCGTCACTAAAGACAATACTGTTCCATTCCTGATCCCAGAGTGACCGTTGTCTGCACCACTCAAGGCGATTACGTCGGTGTTCTCGAGTTAAAGGGAGGACCCAGTGTGGCCGGTATGAAAACAAGCCAAAACTTCTTATTCGTCGGTAAACACTTCGCATGCCAATAGGTCTTCCGTGTTCTGCAAACCTTTCATTTGCAATGGACCTGGTAATGGAGAAACGGTCCCTTAAGGCCAATAATCTTAGGCGGCGATCTTCACGGTCTGTTGTTCTACGGCGGCGTCCAGTGCCCCTTGCTCTTTACGTACGGCCTTCTCGAAGCCATGCCTGACAACACCTAACCACAGTTTTTTCACTTGTTATTTACAGTAAGATAAATACATTCACCAACTTTAATTAAAATAAAACCATTTAAACTGGGTGTTCGGATTTATATGTCACTTAGTATATTTGCGGTAGAACTATGTGCAATTTTTTGATAGATGAAATATCAAACAGCAAAAAAACGCGTTTACATAAACTGTCTTTCATTCAAAAATATATCAAAACAAAGTATTCAACCTAAATCTCACTTTTCAGCTAACTAACGTTGAAAAAATTCAATGAAAAGTTCTAGATCTGTCCTAATTCAATTTTATATATCGTTTTACTAGTCCTGTTGCAGTGTAGTCATTACTTATTTTTAGTATTCAGCTACTATAAGCAGTTTCGATTTCAGTTACTAATCAGATAAACATATCCTTAAAATCCGAGCAAGTAGAATTAATTATGAGGGCTTGAAAATCTTAAATTTTATAAAAAGAATAATAAAATCGTAAATTGTGAAGGATTTGCAGTACTGAAACTGGTCATTTTAGTTATGTATGTAGTACTATGTGGTTGTAAAAGTCTCGCGACTTTTAAGATATGTTTAAATGTCGATGATGATGAATGCAACATTGGAAGGATCTAGAACTGAAAGCATAAAAAGTGTAAAAAGTTGTGAGTTCCGTAGAAAATGTGACTAATGGTGTCAGAAGTGGGGTGAAACCTACCTTCAAGCTGATAAAACATGTGTTTTTTTTGTAGGATCAAATAAGTTTGGTCAGTAGTAGTATACTTTGGCACATTTATTACAAGTCACATATATGACTAAATAAATATAATAAATAAATACATCTATTGGAATATAAAATCCAGTTTTATCACGTTTTAAGCACTACTGTTGGTACCAGCCGAAACAACAATAATTGTGTCCATAAGCGTTTTGCTTTATTAAAAGATAAACAATAAATACAATGCGAAATGTTTACCAATTCAAAATAAATACTTAAAAAATAGAACGAACTTGCTTTGAGTCATGAACAGCGTTGTCATGGAAAGTCGAACGATTTTCGGTAGGACTGTGTGAAATGTTTCGATAAGTGGAATATCAAACAGCTTAAAGGGCATTTACATAAATTGACTGTCATTCAAAAATACAGGGTGTCCTAGAAGTCGACGTCAAGCCGAAACCGGGTGATAGGCAAAGTCATAACAGCTATCAGAAAAATATTAAAAACAATTTTATGTATGTGTTTTGAAAATTATAGGTCTTTGAAAAAGATATAGAAATTTCACACCCTACGGCAGTCTGTCAACTCCTGTTACTACAAATATTAACTTTTTTTGGATTTTATTTTTACAACGTAATGATGAATAATGCATCTTCAAACTGGTGTCTCAACCTTACTGCCAACTTTTGTCGTTCAGGAAAAATTGCCACTTATTTCCCAACCAAGTATTCCAAAGTAAAACTTTGCCCAACTTTAACTGGCTGTACTGGAAAAAAATGTACTACGAGAGTTTGGCAAGTAACCTTAAAAGTTGGCGCATTTAATAACGATTCCAAAATGGTATAACACTTAGAAGATTACTCGTTAACCTTTGCACAATTTTTATTTGAAAAAAAACTGACGAAAATTTTTCAAAAGTTCCTAATTAAACAGCGATTATGAAAACGCACAAGGACCCCTAAGGATAACTGTTTGCACAACACTGGGGGTCAAAATGCTGCTGGACTGTTTAATTGTTCTTCAAAACAACATTTGCTTTCCTTAGACTATCTTTGATAGTGTGATTGTGCAGTGCCGCTATGTCCGTGTACACCGTACAAGAATATGCTAACATTTATGGGGAATGCAGATGCAACGCTAGTGCTGCAGCGAGACTTTACTGTGAGAGGTACCCGAATGCAGCTCGTCATCCAGATCATCGAGTGTTCACAAATGTGCACCGGTTACTGTTCTCAGAGGGCCAACTACCAAACCAATCACACGGTGAGGGAAGATCTTTCCTTCCTTACGAAGACGTGGTGCTGTCGAAGAAGACCCGAGTACTTCAGTGCGTGCAATAGAACTAAAAACAGGTGTGCCCAAAAGTACAGCCCATAGAATTTTGCAAAAAAACGTGCTCCATCCATACCACGTACAGCGTGTTCAAGCTCTTCTGCCCCGGGATTATGAGCCCCGAGTTGATCTTTGTCGCACAATGCTAGAAAGACACAGGGCAGATCCACGGTTCTTTGAAAAAATGTTATGGTCAGATGAGACCACATTTAAGAAAGATGGGTACATGAACCTGCATAACTTACACGAGTGGCACGTAGCAAACCCACATTTGATGAGAGAAGATAAATCTCAATATCGCTTCCAGATAAACCATTGGACAGGAATTTTAAATGGTAAAATAATCGGTCCGTTTGAGTTCCCAAAGACTTTGACTGCTGAGGTTTATTTAGGTTTTTTGCAAAATCATTTAGAAAATTTATTGGAGGACGTGTCACTGAGTATTTACAGGGACATGTGGTTTCAGCATGATGGCTGCCCAGCGCACTATGCACTCTCAGTGAGAGAGTATCTCGATCAAAACTTTCCAGGCAGATGGATAGGGCGGTCTGGCCAGCCCGGTCACCAGATTTGAATCCGTTAGATTTTTTTTACTGGGGAACTGTAAAAGAAAAAGTGTATTTCAAGCCGATTCAAAATGTAGCTGAGCTACGGCAAAGACTATTGGAAGCAGCTGAGTTTGTTAATAACCGTGGATTCGCTCGTTTAATAACCCGATCCTTTTTAAGAAGATGTCGAGCATGTATTGCGGCTGAAGGAAAACAGTTTGAGCATTTGCTGT